GGTAGTGTATATAAAGAAGTTAACTAATATATAAATTTAAATATATTTGCAATATAATAAATATTTTTGTAATATATAATACCTTTCTCTATATTGTTCCTTTTCTTCTCCTTCTTTCTTCGTTTTCTATCTCTATTACTTTCTCTCGTCTTAAAATACATTTTACTTTTTTATAAACAACTTAAGGTATCGATATAATAAATAATACTATAAAAGCTACATTTGGATGGAACGGTAATAATTTACACATCCTATTATACCTCTATAATTATGTTAAAATCATAATAGCGTAATGAAAACGATTCATAGGAATAAATGTGATAGTATTTATAAAATAAAATTAAGTAAATATACATTTAAGAAATATACATTTAAGAAATATTACTTTAATGATTATATTATCTTACGCGTTATCAACATTTTATACAGGCAAAGCAAATAGATACTATGATATACAGGATACCTTTAAACAATTGTTTTATTTTCTAACATTTTTCAGATTTATTGTAATATAATCGTATAATCGTCATATTTTTTTACACAGGAATACTAACGCAAAATTATTCGGACATTGTCACTACTAAAATTAAAAAATCGGATGAAGGGTTAGGTAATGTACATATTTTTAATTCACATATCTCTATTTACTACCGATCATTATTTCACAATGATACATTTGCAACGAAATACCCAAAACGTATATCTGTAATCTAAACACAAGTTTTTATATTCTGGAAACGATACAAGTGTCTTAAAATACTTCTATCTTGTTTCTAAGCAGCATAAAATATCGATACTATCCGAATAGTATAAAGGCTACATTTGGATGGAACGATAACAATTTAGACACCATACCTCTATAATTATGTTAAAAAATCGTCAGATATACTGTAATATAATCGTCATATTTTTTTACACAGAAATACTAACGCAAATTATTCGGACATTTTCACTAAAAAATTAGATGAAGATAGTTTGTAATTAAACAAAGATACTGTTTAGTTAATGTACACATCTTTTTAATTCACATATCTTTCATTTACTACCGATCATTATTTCATAATGATGCATTTGCAACGAAATAGATACGTCAGCAACATTCGAAACCATCGACTGGAAAAAGCATTCCTCTTGGTCTATTCGTTGTGACGGATAAAATCGTATAATTTCAGCACTCAGCAATGGATTCACTTCAATTGATGCGATTTTAAGACAGAGCTCAATTCAAAGAATCCTCGTTGTTACTAAATATGTTTACAAGGCCTGTGAATAGCGCTAATTTCCCTGCCATGCGCATATCTTTCTTTTTCGTGGCTGTATCCTGATTAGGCATCATCTTGTCCGCAATATGCTTATAGACTTTTCCATTCAGCATTAAGGGGATGCTGGAGCCGTAGCCGAACTCGATCGGCGTCGGTAAAGAAGACCGGCGAACTATATCTGTCCTTGTATAGACAAAGATATAGACAAGGATAGCACGCTATATTGCACGCACACATACGCACGATGCACACCGACATTATACTTTTATATTACGCTTCCAAATCTTGATTTGGGGGGTTTATCGATGTTTTTCTTGTTGTGCAATTCGGGGAAACTTGTTTTCGCGTTCGTACCAATGGTATATCTCTTATATGAAATACATCTTGTGACGAGCTGACAGCTCGCCGCAACTCGAGACGCCATATTGGGATAAGAGTAGGATAAGGAAATCTGTACTTCCGTAATTTTTTCTCGTTTTCTATATAAAATCGGAGTTTCCCCGAATCATTGATGTATGTACTGCAATTCTGGAGAAGGATTTTTAATTCTGTCAAATTAATACGACGCTACGTGCCGACAAAAAATGCCGGTAAAACAGACGGCTCCAGCATCCCCTTAACGTAAAAAATAAAAAAGCCGTCGTACCATCTGAAATCGTTATATATAATTGTCTCGGTATTATAATCAATTTTATAATAAGTGTTTCCTCTCCGATAGCATAAACAAAATTAATTTTAGGAAATGTAAATTATTTTATGTTTTTCTGAAGGTAGAATACAAAACAAAACTAAAAATCAAGTTCTTTTCAAATAATAGACAACTTGAATTAATTATATAATTAATGTTTATAAGAACAATTTTATATTACTTTTAAAAGGAATGTTTAGAACACTGATTACACTTACATTTCCTGGTTAGCGCTTATTTTATGACATGTTGTATTTTACAAATTTTACTTCCAAAACACAGAAAATACCTTCCAGCCTGTGATGACACCACGTATACGCCAACGAACCTGCACGGTATCGTTTTCAGAATGCATTGTGTAGGATGTCTTTAGGATGTCAAGCTTGACGTGTGCAAACTTCATATGACCAATGAACCTTAACCTTAACAGTATCAATTGCTTCGCATAACTCACAAGTCCCCTGCAATATTTTTTAAGCATATTATGAGAAAATGGAAATACTTAATGCTAAAAACTATCAATTGCTTTGAATACTTAATAAAATTAATTTTCGTTACTCCTCTAATATTGCTGATAAAAATTATATTATAATAATGGATAACAGGGACTCAATTCACAAATATTTTAGCATAACTACAATACAAATTGCGCTATAGAACACTTTCTCGTTCTTTTCGACTTTTAAAATTTACAAGAAAGCATATACATACATACATGTGCAATTTTGGATACACCTTCCTTCTTAACGATCTCTTCGGTATCAGCTCCCTGCGGTCAATATATAGCGGCAAAATTGTATACCATATAGTTGAATATAAAATGTTCCTGTGTGAGAAAACGAGAGAAAAGAAGGACATTTATAATAGGTAATGACACGCGATACGAACCACGCAATAGTGTTAATTCGGGATTGAAAGAAAAAAGAGGGGGTAAAGGAGAAGAGATTCTTACAATTAGAGGCACTCTGTAGCAACTCGTATTATCTAGCACAGGAGGACCTCTTGTGCTAGACAATTATTCCTCAACAGTGTCTGAGAATTATTATATTTTGAAGACGCGAGATTGTACATTCAAAGCATCTAAGTTAACGAAAGTAAAGTACAATATAAACATTCTTTGGAGAAATCTTTATTACGCGATAGTGCCTGTCGCACGTGCATACAAATACAGATCACTTTCTCGTTTTCTTAACTTTTACAACTTTTACAAGACAACATATATACGTACGTGTGCGATTTTGGATACACTTTCCTTCTGAAAGATCTCCTCGGCATCAGCTCCCTGCCGTCAATATATATTTCACTATCACTATCATCTATCACGCGGCAATGGTTACGACTCTGTCACTGTCACCATCTATTTTTAGGTTACCGCTGTATTCCAACATAGATCGGTCTTTCTTAACAGCTTCATGCGTCTGCGATTGAGAAAGAAATCTGATAAGCTCTGTATACCAGCTCAAGCAACATATACATATACAAATATGTATATATATTTTAGATAAAAACAGTCAGTAAACTTTTATAAAACAATACTCTTTGAAATAATACAAGCGATAATAATTTTTATAATTACCTCTCTATATATCTTAAATGTGCATGAATTTTCTTCTAACTATATTTGTAACGACATCAACTTTTCACGCTTGTTGAATATTTGTGCCATGAGCACCAACAGCTAATTCCATCAGATCTTCTCGAACATTAACTTCATCGGTATATCTAAAATAAGGCAAATTTTACATAATACAAAAACAATAATTATTACTTACATCTGCTTATATATAAAGTATATGATTACAAAGATAAATCTGTATCAAAAATCTATAGTTACTGTAACGTATACTTAGATTAGATTTGTACGAGCAAGCAATATAACTAACCTCGCGAGACACCACGCGAGCAAACGTCATTACGTTAAAAAATATTAATGTAAAATATAATTATCCACATACATTATATATAATAGTGGATTATATGTAATAAAAAATCCTACTAACCTCGCAAAACACACCACGCGAACACACGTCACATCACGCGATACACGCGCGAAATTAACTTGCCAAACTCGCCGCGATCTCGATCGCCGTCGTCACTTCGATCCTTGCGTGACGCGAACGAAATTCGCGAATTAAACGATCGTATTTAATGATGAGAGATCACATTAATAATAATATTAACCTCCTAACGACACGACGCGAACTGTCACATCACGATTGATCACGACGCACACGCACGAAATTCGCGGAACTCGCCGCGATCTCGATCACCCGGCTTCGACCGGCCAATCACGCACGCGGAAAAGCGGCAACACTACGTGCGAGATATTTCGACTCGGAACGCTCACTTCTCGGTCAAAATGACTTTTTTTATTATAGATAGACTAGAACAACACAGGCGCGCGCTACGCGCGCGCTTTTATTATATTTCACGAATAGAACAACACAGGCGCGCGCTATGCGCGTGCATTTATTTTATTTCACGAATATACAACTATACATTTTTTATATTTTTATTAGAAGTGAAGAGGTAAGTCGCTAATATCGACATAGGTCTTCTAAAGCGACACCTCCTTATTTCTCGAAAACTAAACACCGCACTTTATTAATGCTGATGAGGACATAATTTACTTATATAATTAAAAACGTAAAAACCCTTACTTTTTTTACACATTTATTGATTTTTATATATAAAATATGCTAAAAACGAATCATTCAAAAGCAATTATTAAAAATAAAATTTACCCAAATCTCTTTTACTAATTGTACAGTTTAAATAATAATGAATATATTATTGATAATATTAGATTATTTTACATGTTTGTGTAACGTCCTAAAACTATTTAAATTTTTCTTTTTGTTTTATTCTTTTCATATATATAATGCAGTTTTATATTTAAATATAAAATTGAGATGCAACGTAAACTGGCATACTTATTGATAAAACAAATTATAAGGTAG